AGCTGCGGGTTGATCGCCGACCACACAAGCGCCCCACATGTCTTCTTTATTGCTGTAAAATTTCAGATCTCTGCGTTTAGTAGATTTTCCGTACCAACTTAAAATTACCACCCATCCATTGATAAAACACTAGATTTGGAAACTAGATCACGTATTCCAAACGCGAGGTGCCGGCATGCAAGAGGCGCTTGATCGTTAGGCGGCATGTGATTGGCTGCCTATAACCAAATAGGTCACAGATGACTACATCGCGGGTTTTCCCGATAGCGCTTTACTGAGTTTTAAAAGGGGTGATCGCGTCGCAGTAAAAACGATGTCACGCAATTCAACAAATTTCACGCAAATATCAGTCTTTAAGATCCAAAGTAATAAAGACATTGAAAAAGTGATAGCAGAACTAGATTCTGCACTAAAAATCACACGAAGATGCCAAGTTTCATTCATATGCTCCAATTCATTACTGACTTTTGAACAGTTTTTCCTCAAAATACATCAAAACATGTCCCACATTTTGGTGATTTTTTCCTAATATGAAGGTCCTCCAACATTTTGCAAACAAAAATCCCAATAACTTTTTTATTTATCAATGGATTTTTTAAATTTAAAAACCATAGTTCTTAGAATCTACTCTATTTTCAGTTAAATTTAATTTTTTATTGTCATTGCTAAAGAATGAGCCGGTTCTCACGCCCGTCTCTAATGAAACTCTTCTTGTAAAAAGGTAGAAGACTTTTACAAAATTACACTGCACAGAGGGCTCACGCTCTCCCAGCCCTGACAATGGGGTGACAGTTTACGACACACTTTCCCCCAGTGACACAGATACCTTGCGCCCATTGGGCCTTTGTTAGGCATTTTGTTTTTAACCCCTTCAATGCCGCAGGTAAATAGGCCCCTTTGCCGGGGGAAATCCCTTAAACCATGGCTGCTCAGGGGTGACCCACCTTACATCCCATAACTTTTTTATTTATGAATATTTTCTCATGAATTTCTGCATGTGTACCTTCTACATTAAACCACATTTCTATTGAAGTAATTTTGGGGAGATTTCCTTGAGAGATCGATGGAGAAAAGTTGGAGTTAGTAACATGAAGTGAAAAACTACACCACCAAACAACATGAAACAACACACATTCAAGTAATGATAAACTGAGACCAAAAAAGGGGAATACATCATGTGTCCAGTTAAAGAGGAAGTGACAAGAGGCTTTTCCTATCTTATACAACACTCGTACAATCATATATTATTATATATATATACATATATGTCATGTGGGTGTGTAATATATGTGTGTATATATATAAACATGTAAGGCCATCTTTGTTTACTGCCAATAAATCATTTTTGTGCGGTAGATGTGTTAGATCTAGATCTTATCTTCTCTTTGAGCAAAAATCTGAATGTGACGCTCCCAAATGGGAGGAAATGGTGGTAAACATAAAGGGAAGGTACCTCAATAATAATTACAAGATTTTAGCAGGAACTTCCTTTATAATTGGTATCAAAACAACCTCTGTCACAGTCCCGTAAATTCTACAGGCCATAGGCACAGCTCTACACAGTTTAGGCCCATAAATTGTACAGGCCATAGGCACAGCGCTACACAGTTTAGGCCCGTAAATTCTACAGGCCATAGGCACAGCTCTACACAGTTTAGGCCCGTAAATTCTACAGCCACGGCAGTGAAGAGGTTAATAGGTTTTGTTTTTCTTTTTGAGGGATTAAAACGAGTTTGCATTTTCTTCCATCAGCAACACAAATGGATCCTGTGATGTAGCCATAAAGACCATCAACCTGCTCATCAGAATTATATCCCAAGCGAAATTTTCAAATGCGCGGTGAGTTACCATTTACTTACTTTATTTTTCCGACCCAGCAGCCATCTGAATTCTTGCCCTTCGGCCTGAAGTTACCATTTACACAAACAGGTGTCTAGAATGGTTGGCTAAATTCTTACTGATGTCTCTCACAATTCATTTTATTTTCTTTTGTTACGAGAATATGCTGCTCACACAAACTTTTTTTTACTCTGGAGGGTAAAGATATTTAAAATATTTAGCTAAATTAATCATGCAAGGGTTTCATATATTCTACAATGAACTATTGAACCAGTTAAACAGCTTTAGTCTTTAGTTTCACAGATTGATAGCCCATAACATAATGTGATGAGCATTTGCTGATTATTGTTATTCCTCAGTGAACTGCTGGTCCACGTCAGGGTGGAAGGGATGCATATACAGGCTGCTGACCCATCGGAGAACATTATTGGGAATATAATTAGAAGAGTTCTCAAAATCATCCGAGAAGAGTACCGGTAAGTTTTACTTTTGAGTATCAGTAATTTAAAATGGTTTATGAGAATAGTTTTAAAGAGAGAGAGGATTCGTGAAGAATGTAAAGTGAAGTTTGAAATGCGAGAGGAGGTTATCAGTTTTAGACTTGTTGGTTGAATTGATTACCTAGACGTTTTAACAAGTCCATATTGAGTATAACTTTGTGATGGCAATTAGATATTTTTGGTCTGCGTCATCATGGCTCTAGGTGTATTGTTTGGAACCATTGTACGTCTTCTTCTCTGAGTGTGCTCTCGAGAGAAAATAAGATAGCTGTGCTGCTCTCAGTGACCACACATGATGCTGCTGCACTGTCGGTAAGATCGAGGGAATCCTTTTGGTAACCTTCCAGTCTACATAAAGCTGGTGATTGGGTTTGTTTCTTATTCTGAGATGCTGGGCTACTTTGTTCATCCTTAGCCTTGAACATGCTAAGCCACATGGATTTTGGGATACTCGTGTACTCATGTCAGCTCTGTGCTGTGGACGTCACTTGACTTGTTCTCAATTTTTAAGTTACTCTTCCTCAGGTTTTTACTGTGTTACTTTTGTGTTTCAGGGAGCTTTTGTTGCAGAAAAATGAGGATCAAGTCTCTGCAATGGAGGTAAATGTTTTACTGATTGCATGCAAAAGAATAGTTATGATAGTATATTTATTGTTCAGACAAATAATTTGTGTGGTGTTTTTGACTTACTGCTGATAAGACTTGAGGTCAAGAGATTGAGGAATTGGTTCCTGGCAGAACTGAGAAAAGAGACTGCCAATGATTTTCCATCTGTCCTCTCAGGTGTGACTGGGTACCAAAATCTTGAAGGGAAATGAGGGAGGGGGAATATACCGGCTACGGAGTTGCTTCCTGCTCAGGAATGATATTATAATGTCCGTAACTCATCATGATACAAGTCCAGGTGACAGATATTGCAGGGTTTTTTAAAAGAACTTCACAAATATTTTATTGATGTTTAGTTAGCTTTCAGGTATGTTGCATCCTTTTTACAATTCAGAATACTTTACCTTGTAGTCTTCTTGTGCCTTTTTTATGTGTATGTAAATGGAAAAACTTCATAGTGCCCAGTTTTGCTTATGTTAAACTGTGAGTATTGCACAGGAAAACAACTCTGTTAAAATTAGCTAAGATTGTGTATTGAATAAATAACAATTAACAATTGTGGATTGCTTATTGAATAATGCAATGCATAATTGATCAGATATCAGTTATTTAACAACAAATGAGGAAAGTTTCTTTGAACTGTGCTGATCAAAAGTAGACATCCTTTTGAAAATTCCTTAAGATATTTTTGTTTTCATTTCAGAGATTATCTATGGCTGATGTTGATGAAGGAGATTATAGCACACCATTTCCACAGCTGAAGGTAAACCAGCTGTTTTTGTTGTGTCTCGGAAAAAGAGTTTTGTTTCACTTTTATGACTTTCTCTCTGACAAAGTGTTACCAAGTATTGTTAATGAATTGTGTTACAAGGTTTGTAATGTCAGTCTTGAACTAAGAAACAATTTAATCTGTTTTGGGACCATGAAATACCATTTTTAATCCAAGTACTTTTGAAAAGCATGTGGTTTTACCATGACAAGGTTATATATTCTGCACAAGACACTTCTGAATTGAGAAGGTTCATAACTTACTGATCCATTTACTTCTGGGGGGGGGGGGGGGGGGGGTTGACCAAAGCTATTTGTTTGTTAACACAGTAAAGGAAGTGGCTGTGGCGCTAAGTTGTTTCTAGATATGGAGCAATACTGCGATTTTCTTACAATTGTGTTTGTGACTCCCCTGATTTCCAGTGACTATGACTTTGGACCTATGGCTGGTAGATAAATACTGATTACCCTCACTCATAGGCCTTGGAAAGACCTTTTATTTAGTATCCATAAGGTTATATTGTGAAGTACTTGGATCGCTAACAATAACATAACAACAACATATTGTGAAGTACCTGGATCGCTAACAATAACATAACAACAACATATTGTGAAGTACCTGGATCGCTAACAATAACATAACAACAACATATTGTGAAGTACCTGG